CTGAGCTGCTAATAACGGAGGGAGGTAGAGAGGGGCGAATTGCTTTCTCCTGATACATAATTCTAAAGATGTCTTGCCATTATCCCCGTGTTGTTCAATATTTCACTAGTTAAGAAAGTAGTACATGATTTCACTAATTTCACTATGGAGATCTCGCTTGTATTGGCAGAAAGGAGGCGAACGTGTGCCTGGCGTTACTTCCATGATCAGACTACTACTTGAGTCTCCAGGTAGCTGTTACTTGAGTCTCCAGGTAGCTGCTACTTGAGTATCCAGGTAGCTGTTACTTGAGTCGTCAGGTTAGGTTAGGTTACTGTCATGTGTACCTCCTCTATTGTAGCACAGGATAAAAAAGAAAAAAAGAAAAGTAAATCAACAGTGGTTCATTTACCCTCAGGGAATAGAAGGGTCGATGGCTAGCTGGCCGAGGTTACTGACAGTGGTACAGGTTTTCCGCTTACAGTCCGTCAGCATTTGCCCGAGTAGAATCAACCGGTTCACCACCTATTATAATTACTAAAACCAAACGATAATAATTTTAGCAGAGTAGCTGGAAGAAATGATGTTTTTGTGCATGAAATTAAATCACTAACAAGGGAGATAGATGTAATAAAGATAAATACAGTAAAAAAGTAACATGAATTATGAATGTGACAAATTATTTAAACAGTCGGGATCGAGTGTGGCAGTGGAGAAAAACAAGCGGACATATCTAAACCAAATTTCCCTACGCTTTCTAGTTATGTTACCACCACACTGTCCGAATAACGATGTATTATTTTTCTGAAAGGGGGAAATTGACATATATCTTTGAACACATTACAACTAAGAGTAGCTAATAGCCCTGGTAAGGTGTGTGTGTGTACTGGTCAACTCAAAATCCTCTTACTCTTCTTCCGATGGTATTAAAGGAGCAACACTAATTGATCTTACAAGCGACAGTCGAGTGGATGGTGGCAGTGAGTGAATGGAGGGTGGGTTAGCCAAGTCAGCTGCCCTAATTGTGTAAAGTTTTTCCTACAGGGGTTAAATAGGACTTCAGCCTGGTAGAAATGAACATAGCCAGTACTGAATTAAGGTGGGGCGGGGATTCCCTTCATCGTTCGTTCAGTGGGAAGACATATTACGTAAGGTGTAACAGAGAGCTTCCAAGGTGTGTGTTTACCAGGTGGTCATACGAACGTGGATTTCCTGGATAATTATTTCGTTCTCGTCGATATAGTGTGGATAGACTTGGATCACTTTATATTGCCTTTATAAGTTGGATCATTATATAGTTCCTACATATATAGGTCTGGATCACCACTATACTGCTTTGTGAAGAATTGATATGCTATTTTTAATGTGGTTCGTCCAATATTTCAGACAAGATGATTGGCAATGATAAATTGAGATTATTGTGCTGATGAGTTTCATTGCATAGGTCGTCACATGCTAATCTAACCTAACCTAACCTGACATGACCTGACCTGACCTAAGCTAAGCTAACCTAACCTAACCTACCTTAGGTATAATGCGGCTATCTTATGATGGTAAACGACATCTCAAAATACAGTAAATTTTACCATATATGAATTAATTTCTATTTAGGCAAGAAAAACAATACGTTATCCCATTTGGCAAGAACACCAGTTGCTTATTTTTAAAGCTTGATGGGTGATTGTCCGATTATATACGTGGGTGTGTGTGTGTTCTCGCGGTAATCTTCTTATTAAACCTTCATTAAAACACAGTTGACTTCCAAGAAATAGAAAGATCTTTTTATTATTATTATTATTATAACTTTATGGAAATTAGTTCACTGACGGTAAAAGCTAATTCTGGTACACTTAACCAAAATTCGGTTAAGTAGGGATAGGTTAAATTCTGCTGTTATGTTATATGGTTATGTTATGTTTGTAGGACGTTTATCTACTTATTTGCTACTATGTAGACGAATAGGTTAAGACTCAAGTGAGACATTTTGAGACTAAGCGAAATAACCGAGACATTCAAATAGAAGAGCATAAGCGAGGGAGAGAGAACGGCACAGCCAATGAGATAACTGAAACGCGGGGAAGGGGCGGAGCTGAAATTACAGGAGGTGGCGTATATACAAATTAAAATTGATGGGGGTCAAGATACTGTTTTCAGAGACAGTGTGGGAGCGACAATAACACACAGGATTTTTCATTTTTTGCTTCTTGTAAATAAAGGTTTAGAATAGAACTACACAACATAAACTCATTCCGTTCTGAAAATTTCCGTTTGTCTGGTTTTGTCAAGCGTAGGTACTGAACACCGCTGCGTACATAAGGATAGGCTTATTCAAACAGTGATTGATTAGCCAATACCTATTAATAAACATGATGTGGTAACATAATAAATAAACATGCTGTATCGATGTAAACAAACACCCAGTGATTATATACACAGTGAAAATTGTATAATATTTGTTGTTTACGTTATTATTTTCTCGTCACACCCGCGTTCGTCCGCAGACCCGAGGTAGTGTGTCTTCAACGTGAGTTGTACTGTATATTATGCATCTGATAACCTCCACAGTTCCTTCGGTTATGTTATCTTATATTAAAACAATACAACATTTGAATAACGTCTTTGATATTCAAAAGGTGTATTATATTGTGTCAAACATTTTTTAAACGGTAAATACAACCCAAAAAATAAATATATTTCAAAGGTCAGCTAAGAATGTTATAGCTGATAAAATGTTGAAAATTTCCATCGTATATAGTAGAGGTATAGCGGAAATAATACAGCTAATCTGCTTGTACCATACGGCTCTCTAAAGAATATATTGAGACCTTAGCTTCAACAACAAAAGTATTTAAGCGCTTATACTAAATCAGTAATTACACTAATCAACAATAGTTAAAAGCTATGAAATAATCGACCTGTATTATATTTGATTCTTTAGTGTAAATAAGCTACTGTGCTACAGTGTGAATATCCCGGTAGACACAACTCAGCACCCAACGCAGCAGTAAGTTATCCTTGAAAAAAAGATTACTGTACGTATTCTTTACTTGTTATTTTACATATTTATCGGAGAAACGATGCTGATGACTTTGATAATCCTTCCATTGTCATCTATGAGTTTCCTTCATGTTTTTCTTGAAAGTAAGATATTTATTCATAATTCATATCATTAAGAATCTGTTTGTGTGTATTAGGGCAGCACCTCAATGACAATCTAATCACAATAATATTGCACAAACTTATGTTCAAGCTTGACGAGGCGATCGAACGTCTATACTCAGTGAAACCATGTCTGTACTCACGTATGATCTCTTATGCCCCAACGTACCTGTAGACGGGTTACCCAATTGAAGTTTATAAGCATCTCAGTCGAGTGTCCAAACCTGGAGATGGCGGACGCCCGCCCCACAAGGGGTCACAGCTCAAGGTTGATGAAGCCAAAAGTCCAGAAAACTGTGAGAGGTAACTTTTTGGGAGTAAGAATTGTAAATTCCCGGAACAATCTTCCAGAGAGTGTTGTGAGTGTTGTGACGGCACCGAATGTGACCACCTCTTTCAAGACCAGGCTTGACCAACACCGGAGCAGGTTCCGATATATTCAGGAACCAGTGCATGCCCAGTACTTGCCAACAGTGAGTAACAGAGACGTGACCGACCGCCCAAGTGACTCGGTCGATCATTGCCGTAGAGGATAAAAGTAAAAGTAAAAAGTACTATGTATACCGACTACCGAGGCCTAGACTATCCCTCCCACCTTGCTGCCCACCCCAGCATGGCCACGCCCATGCACCACTCAAGTGCCGTGGGTGGTGAGAGTCAATTCGGAGTTTTCTCATCATTGTAATCCGCACTACTCCCAGGTTCTAATGTGCTGTAAAGGTGGGCCGCGGGCATACGACTGCGCAAGAAAACGACTGAGGTGACGTTGCCAGGCCTAGTCCTTGCAACCAATCCCATTACAAACTAATACATAGCACCTGTCAGCTGCCAACACCCTGGTGAGCGCGGGCCGAAGCTGCTCTAGGCCTAGCCGCCTATCCCGGGGTGATCAGGGCGCGTCGCGAGGCATGAGTAGACTTTAACAAAAACAGTACTTGTATATCATATATTATTATGTGGCAGAACATTTGTAACACATAGTAGTGTGATCGCATGTCGTTTGTAATTTAGTAATAATAAAATATAATAGCGTAATATTAAAGCAAAACTTGGGTGGTATTCATGTTTGATAAAGCTGAGCTGCATCCTGTCTGTAGCAGCAGTTTATTCATACTGAAATAAATTTATAACATCTCACTTGATCTTTTTTCTTATGTCTTATGTCTATTTTTTATTCTTAGTGAAATAGATGAAAATTAATTGTATAAAATTCAACAAACTTTTTAAATCAGTATATTTGGCGATCAAAAAAAAAAAAAAATAACTATTTTTAAATGTAGATGCCAGTCTAATCATAAATTAATACGGTAATTATTAAATTATAATTTTCTGTCGTTGATTTTGCAATGTGCAATCGAAGACGAAAAAACACACTAGGAAAATACTTCTTTAATCTCAACGCATTATCCCCAGATATGAAGTGATGTTATATGTGACCCACGTGTGGGCAACACACACACACACACACGCAGCTCTTGAGCTCTGGACTTTCCGGCTTTTATTTTTTTAGAATATTTGACATTTTACATTAGAAGACATTTTTATTTTACGAAAATAAATACTTTTATCAATGCGAAAATCAAAAGCATCTACAATTATCCTTCTTGCACTAAAATCTCTAATCCTATTTTTTTACAAGTGTTTCTTAACCTGTTCAAGCTTTAAGTTTATGTAAACAAGTTTTCTCATTTATTTATCGCCGGTTATCATCAGTAATGAGCAAGAAAAACATAAAAGTATCAAATTATTCACTGTAAAATATTTCAATAGCAAACAGTAAGTAGAAACTGTAAATCTTATGAATTCACGTTTGTCCGCGGCGTAATGCTGGAACGCTCTGAGGTTATATATAGCGGGACCGCGCGTCGTCTGCAGTCAGTCGGCATCATGAGCTCTGAGGAGGCTGACACCATTGAGTTGGATTCTTCATCACACATCCAGGTGGGCGCAGGCCTGGACGCCGGTGATGACGGTCATTTGTCTCCTACCACGCACTCCAACAGTGTGTATGAGACCAGGTATCAAAAGTCACTTCGGCATTACCTGACCCGAGAAGCCTTACCAAAGGAGTCCCATTACAGAAACCTCAATTCCATTGTTGACGGATCTGGAGTTAGACCGACATTGGATGATCTCCACAACAACACCCTCAGAGAAGAACAGGTAAGGTTGCCCTTAACTTGACGTTCTTGTAGGGTAATTTATCTGTTGCGGTAAATAATAAATAAACATTACTCAGAATTTTCTAGCGTTGAAAATTTTATCCGGCGTCTGGAAGTCTGCAGTTAAATTGTGACAGTACAGATAACTTTTGAACTTTATAATATATGGCAAAGTTTAAGGACAGTCACCCGTGTTATATAGTCACCTACTGTCTATATAATGAAAGTTTCTCGTCGGCTTGTACTCTGCGTTTGTGTTATTACCGGTGTATAAGGTGTAAATGCGGTATAAGAACAACTTAGAATTTACTTAAGAAATGGCGAGTCAGACTGTGTCCAAGAAGACGGAGTGTACATATATGTTTTTATTCACTGGTTTGTTCCTGCTGGTCTGCAGTTCGTGTCACGGTGTTCGTATATTATTGAAACGCGGAAGGTGCTGTGATCCCGGACTCAAGAACAGCACACACACGGAATATAGTAAAGGTTAGTGTGAGGGTCGTGGTTTTTGCAGATGCAGTATTTACGCTTTGGTTCAATAGTGTACGTGTGTGATGGTGCTGTGGATACTAGAAAACTGGTGGGAAATATGGAAAATAATCTTAAAAGCCCCTAAAAGAATCGTGTCTTCTCAATAAAACTTTCGAAAGGATGTTGCTGGTCACTAAACCTTACATGGAAGTAAAAGTCACGGGCCAATCTCGCCTAACAATTTCACGTCAGGTTGGTTTAGTTGTCGACCACGGAAACTACTAACAAATTTGTTGTTTCAAGCGAATCTGGCCTTCATTTCCGTCGTAAGTGAGCCCCGCCCCCAATTACCAACAATATTGGTTGTTCAAAGTGGGCAGGGCTTTGAAGTAGAAAGGAAAATGTCGGTCAAAAGTACTAAAAGAAAACCAAACAAACTTTGTGAACCTTACCTAACCTATAAAATAATTGAAAAGTTTACATTATTCGTGTTTTCGGTGTTTACTATGTGATGGTTTTTTCGGTTTTCAGATGAGGGACCCATAAATTCGAAAGTGATTATTAATCCATTTTACAGAGTAGGTAAGGCTTACAAAGATTTGTTTGGTGTTCTTAGTATTTTTGACCGACATAACAGCTCACTAGTGACGGAGATGAAGGCCAGATTCGCTTGAAACAACACAAAATACACTATTTTGTTAGTAGTTTCTGTGGTCGACAAAAACTAATCGGTAAATTTGAATTGTCACACCGTTAACTTTTAGCAAGTAAATAATATATTTTTCTAGTGTTATTTGTGTGTGTTTAGGCCGAATATGACCTTCATTTTTGGCGGAAATTAGCCTTTTTTTTTTCGTTTGACGCTTTCCGAAAAAAAAATGGCTAAGCGACTAATAAATACGCAAAATAAACACAAGAAAAAAAACAAACAAACCTAACCTAACGTAACTTAACTGACTCGCCATATGATGGAATTACCTATTTCTGACCTTATTGGCCTGGTTCTTGTTCGTCGTTGGATTCTGGGATTCTTACCCAACTTCACATATGTTGGTCTTTGCGATATTTACATTCAGTCTTGCTCTCAGTACACTTTACTGAGGTTGGAAGAACACCATGCGATCGAAAAAATGCAAGAGTTTCTACGTGTTTTTTTTTTTCCCAAAAACTCGCAATCAGCTCCATATACTTTCAGGACATCCATCGCAGACTTCCATGGTCGGGACTGAACTTGTATTTCAAAATATGAGACCCAAAATAAAACTCGAATTTGATTGGGCCAAATATACTCCGAATTAAACCCAAAAGCATTTTAATTGGTTCCAAAAGCAAAAACGATTTTGATTGGCCTCGTGGCATGTACGGGAACGCATGCGCGTGATGATTTATGAAGGAGACGCGAGAGACACGCAGTGTTGGGAGGCAGACGATAATGGCGGGAGGTTAATGGAAGAAAATAGATTTTTTTTGGAAAAGTTATCTCTGTTATTATACATTTCCGCCGGTAATGTAATAGATGAAAATTATCTTAGAATTAGACGTCTTATTCGAATATGATAATAGATTAGTGGTAGGAATGAACGGTGTGTAAACGCAATAATACCAACTAATCTTTATCCAATCTTAGTTTGAAACTGGCGAATCGGAGTGGAAACTTAAACATTACTCGCTCGCCTTCTTGATGCGTTTTGATTATTATAGGTCGTAGCTATCGTCCCCCACAAGCTGCTTGTTTGGTATGGCAACAGATTGGTGTACTGTACTAGTTTACGAGGGTGTACACCGCTGCTACTAATGCGAGACAAGCAATGCATGCTGGTCCTGCATAAGCGGATACCATTATAGTATTAGCGCTGTAAACGAGACAATAATAATGATTGATCATGTTGAATATTCGACATGATTTACTTTCTTAGTCGCCTGTTTACGTAGTTCATATTTAAAGCTCACATTTATTCTCGGAATTTGACCGATGATAAACTGGAAGGGAAAAAACGAATTAATAACTCAATAAAACGTGTAATTATTCATGCTAGCAATTGTCATCTTTGCGCTAAATTTAGCAGATGGTCCTGGGTATTTTTAGCAGAGAAAATGTGGGTACAAATATAACGCAGACAAAACCAACCAAGTTGAGGGAATAATTTATAACTCCTCTTCGATAAAGGTTAGCTATGTTTAATTTGTCTAGCAAAGCTAATGAATGGTTTATTTATTTTGTGTGAGTACGCTATTAGTAGTCTTATGAGGGCTCAGTGTTCATTGGAAATATATTGTTATATTTTCGTCGTGGAGAGAAGTATGCGGTAATTAGTACAGTTAATTGTCTTTCTTATTTAATATATTAACAAGAGTGATCATGTTGGTATATGTGGACAAACCCCTGAAAATTGAAAAAAAAAGAACTTGACAATAGGAAATTCTTTACACTACATTCACCCAGTGACGTAACGATATTTTATGATACGTAGACTAATTATAATACAATAGTAAAATTAGCTTCATGAAAATTAATTACGCGAAAGAACCACAAAGATGTTAAGTGGAAGAAAATTATTTGGCGGAAATATAGGTGGGGGGGGGGGGGTTGGTAGAGGCTCCAGGGGCGTAGTATCGTCCTGGCATTTTTACCTGTCAATACTTGGTAAAGTAAGGCTGTGTAAAGGTGATTGTGATTGGTGGATCTATTTTCGGCTGTATCACAGTCAGGATAAATATTAAACAATCCAAAGGAAGAATTTTTATAATAATAAACTATTCATTGTTGTTTTAGATAATGAGAACTTTCCAAATGTTCGTATATTTGCTTAAATAATGAAAAAAATCGATCGGAGATTCTTGTGCCAGCCCTCGGTTTAGTTAAGTTGCCAATTCATTAATATATTTTTTTAAATATTTAAGCAAATATACGAACATTTGGAAAGTCAGTTAGTTTTCAAACAGCAGTTTTTTATATCTATTTCATATTTGTTGGATTGTTTTTGAAAAGACAACACCTCAAGGGGTGTCCTGAGAGCCGCAGTTTGTGCATCCTTGTAGCATCGTACATCCCGTTCTTGTTCGGTGAGATTCTTATGTACGTTTTTGTTTTGATTTATGTAGAGCTTATTAGCAGAGGGCAAATGAAAACGCGAGATTAGAAAGAATGATAATGTGTAAAGTGACGTAATTAATGTGTAAAATAACTTGGAGAAATTAATGTTGACTAAAGGAGCGTGAAGCGTCTTCCACCTTCAAACATCCCTCCAAGAGAGACAACTGACCTAAACAATTAAGTCCTGATAAAACAACTCTTCCTTAGGTTAGGTTAGTGTTTTTTGTTGTTTATAAGACTGCAACTCAACTTAGTGTTTACATAATAGTTTCCCCTAGAGTTTAATTTCCCATTTTCTTCGCCCCTCTGAATTTCCATAAATCTTCATCGAAAAATACCAGAAGTATCTTAACCTTTATCTTATCTCAAGTTTATTCTGCCTTCATGGAGAACGCTTCGAGTCGATGCGAATATAGTTCCCCGGGAAATACCATGGGTGAGGGTCTGAGGGAGGGGCCTAGTTAGGTAATACCTGTACTTACTAGTGGTCACTGGTTTGCGCCAGATGCACCCCGCTCGAGTCAGCTGTCACTGGAGGAAGGCAGACTCTTGCAGTGACAGCCATGCTTGCCACCTTGTGTGTCCTGCCCCGTAGCATACAATGTACTATATGCGCACTTACAGAATAATAAGAGTTGTTTACTTTCTCCGGTGAGGCAATGTTGGTTTTACTTTATTGTCGATGTAAGATGAGCTTTGTTACTGGCGATATCTTGCGGTTTTACTTGTTCTAATAGTGAAGGCGTCTTGAGTGATGACGCTTTTATTCTTTTTGTTTTTTTGTTGCGAAAACCTGTCTCTCTGACCCAGTTAGTCCAGTGATTTTTTTTCACGTGTTTGTAACTGTCTCTTACATTCTAACAAAAAAGAGAGTAGTATGTCAAGCGTGAGGGTGTCGGTTTAGAAAAGTGTAGCGTTGTATACTGATCCCAATGGTCGGCGGTGACTACATGTCTCATAATGCTGGATATTGGGACCCGGTATATTGGACACAGTTAATGGGGTAATATATGAAACCATTAATGGAAAAAAATATGGTGTTACTTCATTGGAATATTAGAAGACCTCTTAAAGAATCTTGGCGATTGATTTTCCATTAATTATGTTTGACTTTTGAGTTTTTGAATCGGTCGTAACAGTAGATTTTAGTTTTGGAAACACTTTTTTAGTTTTGATAGTTGGGTGTCTATTGTTTGAAGTGATAGTGTCTGCGTGGTTTTAGACCTTATTGAAGCGCTTGAATACATAAGAACAGAACGTTGGCAGAGCAATTGACTGCGGGTTAAGCTCACTTTAGTACTAACTGTAGATAATGCAAGTGTGAATATCTAACTATTAGACTTTAGAAGGTTCACATGATATAATTCCTCCTGTAAGTATTATAAGGCATAAAACTCGTTTAAATTTATTGGTACATTTTCATTAGATCAGAAACG